GGTAGCACGCATGCCACGGGATACATGAAATAGGAGCGGGTGAAACGCCTGCCACGAGATACAGGAAATGGGAGCGGGTTGCACGCCTGCAACGAGATACGTGAAATGGGAGCGAGTTGCACGCCTGCAACAAGATGTGAAATGAAAGTGAATTCTGCCTTTGTTTCTTTTATCCTTGTTAGCAGTTGGATTTTGGTTCCATTATAATTCTCTTAACATTCTGTTTTTACTTGTTATTCCCCGAAGCATGCTTTCCCCCCTCCCATCTTTACTTATTTATTTCTGCTTTACTTTTCGTTGTATATTATATAACTGCATAAGTTTAATTGGTGGTCTGATCCTAGCCTCGTCACTACTTCGTCGAGGTTAGGCTAGACACTTACCAGCACATGGGGTCAGTTGTGCTGATACTGCACTCTGCACTATGTGCAGATCCCGGAGCAGCTCTTGGACCGTAGTTTGGAGGCTACCTTCAGTCCACGCGGAGATCCAAGGTAGACCTGCAGGCGTCCGCAGGCTCTGGCATCTCCTCTATCCTTTATCTCTTGTTTCATCTCTTTCCTTCAGAAACAAGGTGTCTTTTATTTTCAGACCTTGTATTTAGCAGTCTTAGACCGTCTGTGGTACTGTGACACCAGGTTTTGAGTGATTAAGGCTTAAACTGTTGTAATAGACACATGTCCAGATATTTTGTTGCTTTTCTTCCGCTTATTCTAAATTTTCGTTGTTTACTCGTTGTTGTTTTATATAATGTTAAAGAGAATAAAATTTGGTAAAAAGGGTAAGTTGTTTAATAATTGGCTTGCCTAGTTTACATTAGTAGGTGCCATCACGACTCCCGAGGGTGGAAAATCCGGGTCGTGACAAAATACGACCGTTAAGGTGTTACCCTTGCATTATTTTATTTACTAGTCTTAGGCACGTGTACCCTATATAATGAATACACGATCTTAAAAAATTATAATTATTATTAAATAATAAATAATGTGTTTGAGCTATTGAATAAAAGTTAAAAGAAAAATATAAGTTCCTAAAATTGTTAAATGTTGATCCAAGTTAGCTAGTTCAATAAATAAAGAATAATGTCCTCTAAAAGTCTGTATATGCTTTATTATAATTTTTGATGACTTATATAGGAATATATAATGAAAAGTATTATTATTTTTGTTACCTAATACTGAAAACAAGTAACAAATAATACTATGATATAGCTAATTTTGCTCTATTTTTTAATTCCTTTCACTGCTAATGCTCTTCTTGTGGAAATAAATTTATGTAACTTAGGAGTTTTATCAACTTAAAAAATAATTTTACTTGCGTGAAGATTTTGAAAAAGAATTGAATTAGATTCTTTTTCTGATTATTTAATTCGACGATTTTTTTTTATTTTTTTACATGGGGCCTTTGTACTGTTAAAATAACATAGAAAATATAAATAATTTTTTAACTCCATTCCTACTTGAAGAATAATTTTCTCTTAATTAATATTTGAATAATAATTCAAAATTACATTCGATAATTAAAAAAATATTTAATTAATTACATATCTCTTGCTTTTAATAGTTACCATCTATAAAAGTTTTCGCTTATAAGAATAAGTTCTTTATTAAGAAGAATGAATGTCTAAACATATTTTATATGGAAATTATCGTGAGAAACTATAAGGAAACGAAAAGGTCTTACATAATACGAAGTCCATACACAAAAGAATAGTAGTTTAAAGAGTGAATACCTTAAACCACCTAAACTATCACGTTTTTGTTAGTTACCTACTTAAACTATTCGATGTCCTCAAAACCCCCTTACCTATGTATACCTATATATTGAAAACCCCTCGTCGATTTTTTAGTGGTGAGCGTGATACACCCTTCTATTTACTCAGCCTAATCTGATATATAAATTTAGTTAGGAATTTTAACTAATAATAAAAACAATTAAATAGGTAAATGTTTGGGGGGTTAAAAAATCAAAGGAAGAGGATGAAGGGATAAACACATGGTCATTTGTAAAAACAAAAAAAAATCTCTTGTATCTCCTCGGGTAATGACTACACCATATCTCAAACGTGATTTTTACCATTAAACTTCGATTAAACATTGAATTTTTTCCAATAACCTTCGTTGTCACTGGAAATTATAGTTTAATACGAGATTTGGAATAAATAAATTAGGGTTATGTTGAAAGAAGAAGACCTAAATGAAGAAAAATGATAATTTTAGAAGAAACAAGAAGAAAAAAATTTCATATGAAACCCATAAGAATAAAGGAAGAAGAAAGACAAAAAAAAAATGAAGAAGAAGGCTAGAATACAAAGAAAATAGAGGGAAAATACCAAAATTAAATCTTTTAAAGAAGGTAACAATAATTAACCATTAGAAATGGCCAATTGAGGTCATTTTTATGTATAATTTCATCTCTCAAGCGCCTTTTGGCGAGTTACCTTACATATTTCATTAAAATATTGATGATGGATTTTTTAATATATAGGGGGTATAGCTAAGGAGAGTTTTGGGGATACCGAATAGTTTAAATATGTAACTGACAAAAACATAATAGTTTAAGGGGGTTTTTAGGCTATTCACTCTAGTTCAAATATAATTAAGAAAATAATTTTAATTTAAAATAAATAAAGATTTAATAACAAAAACTTTTGTTATTTTCAAAGTTCTAAATATTAGGAAAATAAATATTAAATTTCAATTTTGTCTATTTTGAAAACTATTTTAAAATGGCAAAAAATGCGAATGATATTTCGCTAAGGGTCTTGGTGCTTTTAGTATAGTATATAGATTTTTAGGTTAGGCCTCCCCAAGAATAGAAAAATCCAAAAAAAAAAAAAAGAACGACAACAATCATATCTAGTGAAAGTTCAAGATGTGTCATGTCTTGTGTAATTAGTTCTCCCTAATACTTTTTTGGTCTACCTTTACCTCTTCTCGGACTTGCCACTTCCACCTTCTCGCACCTCCTCACTCGGGCATCTGTGCACACCTCATGTTTGCATGACCGAGCTATCTCAAGCTCACTTTCGTTATATTATTTATCATGGAGGCCACTCCTACCTTGCTCTCTCTCTATATTTTCTTATAACCATATTCTACCTACACATCCATCTCAACATTCTTATTTTTAGTACTTTTTAGTTTTTGAATATGTGACTGACCAACACTCTATCTCATACAATATAGTTAATTAAACAATTAATCTATAAAACTTGACATGTCCCTCATGTGTAAATAAAATGTCCCTAACTATGAAAGATAAAAATTAAAAATACACGTGGCAAAGAAAACAATTTAAGAGCAACTTGCCTTCTGCAAATATTGGGCACATTTTGGGCGAAGATTTTGGACGAAATCTCAAATCCCGCCATCTCACCCAGCATCCACAAATCGATAATGCTTTGGCTTCGTCAATGTCGTAACAATGACATCACCTATCTGTTCTCCTTGTACTACTCCACAGCTGCAACTTCCCACAACAATTTGTTGGCGGAAATACTAGTGAATTCACTTGGTTTCTCCCACGATAAAGCTATTTCTGCTAGCGCCAAGGTAACACTCTTGAAACCTGGAAACAACAAGCCTCAATTGGTCATCAATTTCTTCCAACAAATTGGTCTAGACAAGACCCACATCAAATCCCTTGTTTCTTGCAACCCTAGGTTGCTGTTTTCTGATGTTGACAAAACCCTTAAACCCAAAATTAAGGTTTTTCAAGAACTTGGCTTATCTGGGTCAGACCTAGCTAAAGTCATCGCAAAAAGTGGGTCTTTCTTCTTTTTAAGTCTTGATAATTCAATCAGATCCAATCTTGATTATTTCCGGAATCTGTTAGGTAGTGATGACTCTGTAGCTAAGTTTATCAAGAGAGAGCCTAGGTTCTTATGGGGTATTGATGCCCCTAAAATAATGCCACCCAATATATCATTGCTGCAAAATCTTGGGTTTTCAAGTGTTGATATACAGAAGCTTATGCTTTGGAATCCTAGAATTTTTACTCAAAAGGCTGAGCGCCTCAAAAACACAGTGGATCGAGTAGAAAAAACTTTCTCTCTCTCTCGCGATTGCAACATGTTCATACATGGGGTTTATGCACTTGCATGGCTTGACGAATCGACGGTGAAAAAGAGATTAGAAATCTTCAGGAGCTTCGGGTGGTCTGACTCGGAGATTTTTAAATTGGTCCAAAAACTTCCTCTTTGTTTGACAAGATCTGAAGCTAAGATCAGAAATACGTTAAATTTTTTAATGAAGGAACTTGGTTATGAGTCTCATTACCTGGCTTCTCATCCCACGTTTATGACATGTAGCTTGGAGAAAAGGATTCTGCCTAGACATAACGTTTTGAAGCTACTCAGCCAAAAGGAGCCGACAAAGTGTAGTCTGAACCTTTATACTGCTGTGATATGTTCCGAGTCGAAGTTCTTAGAAAGATATGTGCTGCCTTTCAAGGATGAGATGCCCGAGGTGTATGATATATACATCAAAAATAGAAGCCAATAGAGCATTTTGTGAGTTTTACCAAATTTATTGATATGTTTGCTCATATCTCATTGCTATCATAGAGGATAAATCATTATGTTTCTACATGGTTGTTCTTGTTTTTTTTTTCTTTCAAATGTGGCTATCTCAATCTGAATGACATGTTTTTTTCTTGAATGCTTGTAGATTATGTTTTTGGTTCTTTTGTTTGTCATGCATTGGTCATGATAGTATTCCGCCTAAAGCCCTATTCGACCTAGTAAAGTTCTTCTAGATTCTAGAGGTAGTATCTTGTCTCAGCTTTGGTTTATCTGTAGTTATAGTAAGCAAAAGGCCAAGTGACAACCAACACCACTCAACACAGGTAAAGTATACTTAAAACAAATTGTTCTCCAGTTTGTCTGAATGATTTTATTGTATGTGTCTTCCTAAGTTACTCGAACTCTTCACTTTTGGTGCCGCACCCGTGTCGACACGACGTGGGTGTGGGTGTGGGATCCGTACTTGATCTGGTCAATCAATTTTGGGTACTTTGACCAAAATCGAAGGAATGATTCGAGACAGGTACAATGATTTTTGAAATCAAAACAAAAGTTAAGGTAAAATTGAAGAAAATGGAATACCTTGTATATAGAAATTTCTATGTTAGTCCTTTTCCTTTTATCTCTTTCTCGGATTCTCCTCTTGATCAATATAATTTTTCCTTCTTAGCATACATTGTTAGTTTTCCACATAATGTCTCATAATTTATATATATTTTTAGATATTTGAATTATTTTTAGTCGAATTCCCGCACCCGTATTTATATTTGGATCCATACCCCGAATCTTAATTTTTAAATCATGAAGGATCTGACCTCTAGATCCGCACCCGTATCTGACACCAGCACCCGAGTTCGAGCAGCTTAGGTGTTTTCAGATGCTTGGTGGTCACAATCATCCTGACAGTAGATATAACCGTTAAACTCCATCATTCGTTCTTATTTCTCTCGATTCAATTCAGCTACAAACTTGACTATCTAGCTGTACTACTTTCAACTGCACGGTCCTACACTTTGAGGTTTCTCTTACTAAGGCAGAAGAGAAGGCACCAATAAGGACAAAACAGCACAGATCACTCCTGAACAGCTAGCAAACTGATCTTGTATTGAATCAACACCAGCTTTTAACTTCACTGAATCTATAATTTTGAATAAATATTAGAATCAAGTTAATTAAGATGTAACTGTTTGATCATACCTTTTTATGTATTAGCTTAGAAATTTATGTTCACGAGTTTCTACACAATTAGGCTGTCTACATCACACCCCTTGGGCTGCGGCCTTTCCCCAGGCCCTGTGTGAATGCGGGATGTTTTATGCACCGGGATGCCCTTTATGTATTTATTTATAGATAAATTATGCAGAAGGGACAACACACAAGCTGAAGTTAAACTGTTTTCTCTCTTAACCTTTTGGCGCAAAATGCAGAATGTACAAGAACTGGATAGTTTTTATGTTTTTCAGCTCCCCAATAGATTAGTATGGAGAGGAACTGTCTTTTAGCAAGGTCCTAGTGGAAACCTTGCTTTTCAAGGATATGATTTGTGCATCAAAAGCAGAAGCTAAGAGAAATTCCTTTGGTGGGGGATGTTGACTACAGAACATTCTTTGAGCCTGTGTTAATAGGTCAGGCATTGCATACATCATATGTCCAATTCCTTGTTTGTACTGGTCATTCCTCTTCAAGCTACTGTCAAGCGTTTTACTGCTAATTTACATTTTATTTCTGTAGAGCCAGTGTTAATAGGTCAGGCATTCTGATGTTAAAGTAGAAGATGCTTTTAGTAGAGAAGCACATTTGTCGAATAACCATCTATTTTGGTAAATGGAGAAGAAAGTTCGGGAAGAAATTAACTCTTGTATCAGTTAAAGTCATTTCATCAATGCCAATCCCCGATCTGGAGAATATATCTTCTTGCATCTTAAAAAATCTTCTTGCTTTACACCAGCGCGACATTTTCTTAATCAAAGTTCTTATAGAAAGTATAAGTCATGCTAATTCTTTTTTATTCTGTCATTGTGTTTTGTTCAAACGTAGATTATTTATGTCTGTATCTTCATTGTCTATGGGAGGTGGAGTAATCTCTTCAACATGTCTTTGAAGATCATTTTTCACTGTTTCAATATCATCTCTCTCTTTAATAACATGGTGGTGTGGACAAAACATGGGATTCAATGACCAAAACTAATATGGTTATCCAACAAGAATGAGTCTACAAAGAGAGAGAGGATCTACTTCACCCATGTCACTTGTTGTATCGGCCAAGGCTTTACACCAGCGTGACATTTTCTGAATCAAAGTTCTTATAGAAGTATGTACGGTCTTTTAGGAATGGTTTCATGATTCTGAGGTGCTTGATGTATATATCAAAGATAGAAGCGATAAGGATTATTCTTTACGGTAATATGCATATTGCAGATTCTTTGTTTGTGAGGTTTCTTTTTGATATTGTTTACTTAATCCTCTCTGGAGTATTACTGCTAGTTGACATCTGATTGCTGACCGCTTATTTACTTATTTATTTCGAATTTTCCTTGATGTTTCTTAATCCTGTCTAGAATATTTTCCTCTCCTTGTTGACTGCCTCTATTAATCAGTTATACTGGAAATGGAAGGTATTCAGATTTTGTTGTTCAATGATGCTTTGTAGTAAATGTGGAGAAAATAATGGAAGTTTTATTTATTTCCTTTGTTTATGTACCTATTCCATGAATCAATTTCTCAATGGGGATTGCATGTTCTTGTTTTTGGCTGAAACTACTAACTCTGTTTCTATGACAGGGTACCGGGTAGGGGTGGGCATAATACCGACCGAACCGTGCCGAACTTTTGGGTATTAGTTCAAAACTTAATTAATTGTCTTATCACTTATGTTCTTAGGCTGAAGCCGCTGAACTCTGAAGCCCAAAGCCCAAATACCTTTGAATCCCCCCCCACCCAAGTGACTCACTTACGTTATTTCCCATCAAAAATTAGACTTAGGGTTTTGCGAGTCTTGCGAGTTGCGACTGCTGGCTTCTTCCTCAGCTCTGTGCCACACTGCGAGTCTGCGACTGCTGCCTTCTTCCTCAGCTTCACTGTGACGCCTTCTTCCTCAGGTTAGTGCGACTTCTTGTAGCTAGGTAACAGTTTCTAATTGAAACTAACTTCGTAAAAGAAACTAGCTAGCTATTGCCGGAAAAATTTCCTTGTAGTCACGCACACACACACACATTAATCATAGTGTTGGGACAACTTAGTTCAAGTTTAATGTCCTATCTGTTGCTTGCCTTTAAAGATGAAATATGGCATAAATCCATGCATTTTATCCAATTCTGTAATATGTCTAAGGTTGTTCTATTTGTATAATTTGACTGAATTACTCTGTTGTTCTATTTGTTATAAACTTATAGCAGTTCCGACCTTAATTCTGTTTTCATTCGATTTTCTATAGATGACAGAAGTTGAAAGTAGAGTAAGTGAGGTGGGTTCATCTGAAAGCGAACCTACTTCTTCACCTACAATTTCAGTTGAAACTAGTCAAGACCCAAAAAAAAGAAAATCTGTACAATCTAGATCAATTGCTTGGGATCATTTTGAAAAGTTTAAAGACGCTTATGGAGGTGATAGAGCAAAGTGTAAACATTGTGGTTGTGATTATAAGGCTAAGTCACGATTGAATGGAACAACATCATTAAATACTCATTTAAAGAAGTGTCCAAAAATACCACGAAAAGTTGATAATACTCAAACACAATTGTGTTTACAAAAGGATGGGCAAATTAATGGTGGGGTGCTTTGGAAATTTGATCAAGAACTAGTTAGGAGGGCTTTAGTTGAAATGGTAATTATGGAGGAATTACCTGTTAGCTTTGTTGAAAAGAAAGGCTTTAAGAAGTTTATGAGCATAGCCCAACCTCTATTTAATGTTCCTTCTCGTAGGACGATTACAAGGGATTGTTTTCAAGTTTACAGTGAAGAGAGGCTTAAACTAATGAAAAATTTCAGAGATGTAAAACCAAAAATTTGCCTTACCACAGACACATGGACTTCGTTACAAAGAATTAACTATATGTGTTTGACGGGTCATTTTATTGATAGAGATTGGGTGTTGCTTAAAAGAATACTAAATTTTTGCCCTATCTCTAGTCATAAGGGTGACGAAATGGCAAAAGTTATTGCTAATTGTTTGCTTGAATGGAAATTGGATAAGGTATTCACTGTTACTGTTGATAATGCTTCTTCAAATGATGTCACGGTCAAAGAATTGTATAAACAATTAGATATGTGGAAAACTAATTCGATGGGTGGTAAGCATCTTCATGTAAATGCATGGCTCACATACTTAATCTAATTGTGCAAGATGGTTTGAAGGAAATTGATGTTTATGTAAAACGTGTTAGACAAGCTGTGAGGTATGTGAGATCATCTCCACAAAGGACCTTAAAGTTTAGGGAATGTTGTGCACATCAAGAGGTAGAATGTAGCAAAACATTGTGTTTGGATGTTCCTACTAGGTGGAATTCCACCTACTTGATGTTGGAAACGGCGCAAAACTTTGAGAAGGCCTTTGACAAACTTCATCTTTTTGATGATGGATTTTCAACTCATCTTTGTACACATGTTTGTGAGGATGGGAATGTTGTAGGTCCATTTGTATGTGATGATTGGGTGAATGTGAGAAATGTGATAAAGTTTCTTGAAAGATTTCACGAGCTCACCGAAAAAGTTTCAGGCCCACGTTATGTCACTTCTAATTGTCATTTTGAGGATATATCTGAGCTTGATAGTCATTTGAAAACTTGTTTAGCTAGTGATGATACTAATTTGAATAAGATGGCAGAGAAGATAGAAAGAGAAGTTTAAAAAATATTGGGGTGAACCTCAAAAGATGAATAAAATGATTTTCATTGCTTCTGTATTAGACCCTCATAACAAATTTGAGTATGTTGGTTTTGCACTTGAGGAAATGTTTGGGAAGGAACCAGGGAAGAAATTAATTGCCGAAGTGGATGCTAATTTGAATTCTTTGTTTGGAGAGTATCAAAAAAAATATTCCAAAGGATGTTGTCTTCAATCATCTCCATCTAAATCTACTTCATCTGATGACACATCCGATTCATCTAGTGTAAATGTGAGAACAAAATCTGTGAGAACAAAGCAATTGTTGAAAAGGCAAAAGGTAGACTCCGGAAGTGTAGGTGCTAAATCTGAGTTGGAAAGATATATTGGTGAAAGACAAGAGCCATTGTTTGATGATTCTGATGACTTTAAAATCTTAGATTGGTGGAAAATTAATGCGCCTCGATTTCCTGTTCTATATGAGCTAGCTCGTGATGTATTAGCCATTCTAATTTCAAGTGTTGCATCGGAATGTGCATTTAGCACCGGTGGCCGCATTCTTGATTCATTTAGGAGTTCATTGACTCCTCGGTTGGTGCTAAGTCTTGTTTATGTTCAAGATTGGTTTAGATGTGACGATACTCCTATTAATGTTGAAGAAGATTTGGAGTTTCTTGAGCAAATTGAACTTGGTAAGATTTTCCGTTTTATGAGTGTTTTAGTAAAAATTAGTTTACTTTGTAAGTTTATATGACACGTTATCAAATTATATTTAGATATGGCAACAAACGGAAGAGAAACTTGCATTATTGAAAGAGATACTAGCATTGTTGATGCATAGTTTGAACAAGTGGTAAGCTTAAGAATTTGCTTGTTTTATGGTATTCTTTTGTTATTTATAATTAAAAATATTTTATTAACTTGTGATCTTTTTTTTTAGGTTCAACTATGCCTCGTAGTCCTAAAGCTAGATCGCCTATTTGGGAACATTTTGAGCTAGTTGAAGCAAATGAAGAAGTCCGCAAAGCAAAGTGTCTTCATTGTGGTCGAGTTTATAATTGTCATCCAAAGTATGTTGGCACCATGTGCTTAGTGAAGCATATTAAGAAGTGTCTCAATCCTCATCCAGTGATTCCGTATGTTAGACTTTAAGTATCATTTTCTAGACTTATTTTGTGGCTTGTGGGTTGTGACTAGTTTGCCACTGTTTTGTTGTTTGGTGATGGTAATTTTTAGACTTATTTTGGACTTTGGTAGCTGCTAGATTTGCCATATGTTAAACTGTTTTTGGACAAGTTTGCCACTGCTGAGCAGTTTATTATTTGTTTTTGCCACTGCCCCAGCACAATGCAATATGCATTGCTCCTTTCGTTTTCTCATTCTGGTTTGCCAAAGGGAACTGTAGTTTTCTCATTCTGGTATGCCAAAGGGAACAGGAACCTTCATGTCTATATCTTTCTGTTGTATGCCAAATATTTTGGTATTTGAAAAGTTACTGGTGTTCCATACTACATTGTGCCTAAACGCTATAATTGGTGAGGGGGAATGAATTGCCACAATACACATACTACATTGTGCCTAAACGCTATAATTGGTGAGGGGGAATGAATTGCCACAATACACATTATTTATAGGAGTCTTTAGACATTGTATTGTACATAATTATATAAGGACAGACTTTGTTCCTACGAGTCTACAACCGTTTGAAACCGAAAATATAAATTGGAAATAACCGAACCGAATTTTGAAAAAATCTGCACCGAATCGTAAATACTTTGGTTTGATTGGTTATTATTACAAAACCGAAAACTGATTAGCCGAACCGTATTTTTATAATAACCGACCGAACCGACCGATGCTCACCCCTAGTACCGGGAAATGGAGTGCCTAGCAATAAGGTGCAGTATTTGTTAGTACTCTTTGTTTTGGTTCCTCTGAAATTTTATGACTTGGATGCTCTGTTTCTTTATGCACTTACTCATCTTTCTAGCCTTGTTGTTGGTCCTAAAATAGTCAACATAAGGCAGTGATCATTCCTCAAGAATATGAGTAATCGCGGACTTGCATGTTTGATAAATTGAAGTACTCGCATTATTCAGTGAGGATTCATGTTGTCGACTTCAACTTATTTGGGATTGAGGGGTAAACTGTTGTTGTACATTTTCCTTTGTCATCATGTTCAGATCAACAACACTCATCGTCACATACCTTGCTTGCGCTCGCTTAGATCAAATCTAGTTCTAGCAGATGAAACATATCAACAAACTAGTATGAACATCCTATGGACAAATACCAATTACATAGAAATGGTTAAGTGGATATCGCAAATTACAGCCAATAATTGAATTAGAAAGCTAATTTCATCTCTCAACTTCCTAGAATGAGTAAAGAAATACCAGCTATACAATGCAACAATTAGGCTGAAGTGTTGTGAATTTGCGATCGCTTTACTACCAGTAACATGTGTGCGTATCTTCAATGTTATACTGTTGTTTATTTACAAAACTTGTAGCTTTTACAGAATGTTTTCCAGGTGAAGTTTATGTTCAAATTCAATTTAACTTCCACAAATTGGTTTTCGTATATTATGAGTTATTTCGAAAACTTCTTGTCAACGTCAATTGCAAGTACAATTGTAATTTTTTAATTTTACTCATGTGTTATTCAAATATGCTTGTTAGATATTAGATATATTTTTACGGAAAAAAAAAGAGAAAGAAAAGAATTCAAGGGGAGATGCCATGGTGTATGCTATTTGCAGATGATATTCGGCGCCAAAAAGTGATAGCTGCCAACTCGACGCTACACTAAGGTAGGAAGAATGGGTCACAAATAGCTTTTACCCGATATTAGGGTTGGGATCGATTTCCTGAGGGAGCTAGTAGTGGAGTTGGATTGTCTGTCTAGCCTAGAGATATATTTGTACTCCTAATGTCACTTCAAACATTTTTGGGTTTTTGAATTACAACTATTTTTATAAAACTATTGATTAACACTAAATTATGCTATGAGAATATTGCTAAGTTGTATCTAATGGGAAGAAGGGCACTAGGGTCATGACACTGCCTAGGTGGTTAATTGACGGATAGATGTTACTAAGGTTCGATTGACATAATTGGGGCTTATGCTATAACCATTGCACAATTTTACCCACTCTCACACCTCTCGATAGAGAGAGTGATTTTGCTCAATTGACTCGCTCGAGCCCAAATGGGTAGGCAAATTAGACCAAGCAACTAGGGTTCAAGTAGGGTAATTACTCTCTCGAGATTTAACCCGTTAATTGGGACTATCATTTCTAATGAGTCCATACCAATTCCTTGTTGGGTCAATTTTGGGGTCATAGACTCTCTTTCTCAAGAAGAATTAAACCCACAAAGCTTGAATCAGTGTTTGCAACCATCAATTCTAGGTTAAAACATAAAATCAACCCAAATAGCAAACATCCATAGTCAATCTAACACTAGATGACACACACATCAATTACCCATACTAGGGTTGAGCCACAACCCTAGCTAATGGGTTTAGCTACTCATGCTAGATAAAGAAATTGAAGAAATAGATGAAGAACTAAGCATATTAATTAATTGCTAAAATTAAACTACAAGAATCTATCGTAAATGTAAAGCAAAAGTGCCAAAAATGGCTACAAAATGCGTTCTCACGAGTGCAACTGTTGTCTGATATATCTGATAACCTAAAAAATGGTAAAATGTTCTATTTATATTAGGCTGAAAAAACTGGACAAAAATACCCCTACGGGGTCAGTGCGGGCCGCACTAAATGGACCGCGGCCGCACTGGGCTCTGAGACTGTGATTTCATCTTCTCTGATCTAGGACTCTGCGGACCACGTAAAATGGATCGTGGCCGCGGAGGGATCTAGCGCGGTCCGCGCAATCACGACCGCGGACCGCATGTCACTGGCTTTGCAATTTTTCATCTCTCTGAATCTCATGACCGTGGACCGCACAAAAGAATAGTGCGGCCGTAGAGCCTTCATCGTGGACCGCGAGATGTGTACCGCGGCCGCGCTTCTTCTAGCGTGATTCACCTACTCTCTGATCCACCTAGTGTGACCACATTCCACTTTGCGCGGTCCGCACTAGGCCCTTTTTCCTTAGATTTCTTGGTTTTTGCTACTTGAGCAGGTTTCACTCTTTTTTGAGCCGATCTTTGACATTTCGTCACTTTGCCAATCAGACCTGCAATCAAGCACAACTTATGAGTCTTTTAAGACTATTTTGTAACAATATATGATCAAAGTATAGGCAAGTAGAGGCATAAAACATGTTAAAATCCTAACTTATCACGTATCAACCTCTGAACGGCTCGAAACTAGCCAAAAGCAACTCAGATACATCAAATAACGCCTTAGGAAACAACTCAAGCGATAAAGGTCTAATCTTTAACCAAAAACTCAAAGTCCACCGAAAAGTCAAACTCGGGACCGCACCTCAGAACCCGACAAAACTCACAAATTCCGACAACACATTGAATTACGAGTCCAACCCATACTAATTTCACTCAAATCTGACACTGAATCGATGTTCAAAACCCAATTATTCACTTTAAGAAAGTTTATGGAAACCCCCCAATCTCTCTCCTAAAAATCATCAATCACATGCCAAAAATGAAGATAGAATAATGAAATATAATCAAAATCGAGTCACAAATACATACCCCAATCCATGTGGTGAAAATCCTCTCCAAAATCGAGCTCTAGATCCCAAAAAATGAGGAGATAACTGAACCCTCGATATATATAAAACTTGCCCAGGGAGTTACGCATATGCGGACAAAATAACGCACCTGTGCAATCGCATTTGCGAGAAAAAGCTCGTATCTACAACTTTCACTTACCTGACCATCAACCTCATCTGCGCGAAACAAACCGCATCTGCAGCATCGCAAAAGCGCGAACACGTCCGCAGAAGAAACACCCACTTGTAGCCTCAATCCCGCACCTGCGATCATTCTTCCGCAAATTCAACCTCGCACCTGCGACCCCTCACCCTCAGAGCCAAGACCTCGAAAAAGTGAATCTACCATCGTAGAAGCAGATACGCATCTGCGCTCCAACATGTGGAGATGCGAAACACCAGAACCAAGCCTTTTTCAGCAATGCAACATGAGACAAAATGATCCGAACACGCTCGAAACTCACCCGAGCCTCTCAGGATCCCATCCGAACATACCAACAAGTTACAGAACATAACACGGACCTACTCGAGGCCTTATATTACACATAACAACATCGAAACCACGAACACACCTCAAATCAAAATTGATGAACTTTTGAACTTTCAACTTCCAAATCTCGTGTCGAACCATATCAAATCAGCTCGGAATGACCTCAAATTTTGCGCACAAGTCCTAAACGACATAACGAATCTATTTCAACTCCTGTAATCCGATAACATCTAAGTCAACTCCCGGTCAAATCTATGAACGTCCAAAGCTTCAAATCGCCAACTTTCGCCGAATAGTGCCAAAACCTTGTAGAAATATCCAAATGCAAATTCGGGCATATGCCGAGGTCCAACTTTGGAAAAAAAAGTTAATTCCTTCTTGATATCTGAAAAATAAAATATTGTGGATCACAAAAAAATGGCCAAAAAATTAATTAAAGTGGACCGGAGGGAGTATTGAGATCATGAGGAAGATAATGGATGTGTGGGAGTTACAACCATAATGGTGAAGAACCGTTTGCACTCACATCTTAATTTTGCTTAATAATGTGATTTGAAAAAATATTTACACCAACGCTTGTCACACCTCCTTTTTCCGTACCTGCGTGGGTACAAAGGAGTTTTTTCCAATTAAAGGACAATCGAAACGGGATTGGTTTGTTTATTTCAGAGTCGCCACTTGGGAGTTTTAGGGTGTCCCAAGTCACCAATTTTAATCCCGAATCGAGGAAAAGAATGACTCCATATTACAGTCTGCGTACCAGAAATCCGGATAAGGAATTCTGTTAACCCGGGAGAAGGTGTTAGGCATTCCCGAATTCCGTGGTTCTAGCACGGTCGCTCAACTGTTATATTCGGCTTGATTATCTGATTTTATACAATTATGAACTTATGTGCAAATTTTAACTTTTTACCGCTTTCATAATTGTTATTATTATTTTCTACAAGAAATTGCAACGTTGTGAAAATATATCCCGAACCGCGTTACAATCAATGTACTCGTGGTCGTCGACACATTTTGACTCTCTGAGATTTGGATTTGGGTCACATCAATGTGCACCCGTGTTTAAGAAGGTTAAATTATTAAAG